ATTTTTTAACTTTGAGTAAATCTCTGGGTCTACTTTTCACAGAAGCATGGATACAATAAATTCTAAATATTGTTTTAAATTTGATAATGACTAATTTTAGTACCAATCGACTCGTCACGAAGAAGTAGAGTCGATTTTTAGGTTGAAAATTTCAAATAAAATAGTGAAATTTAGTATCTAGTGTGTATTCTATTATTCAAAAAAGAACTCAGCTAAAAAAAGAACTCAGCTAAAAACCTTGTTTTGAGGTCATTCTAGCCAGATAAAAGAGCTTATCCAAATGATATAAACATCCCCCATATCAGATACCGACTTTTGGTACAAAAAATTATGCCAGAAATTTAAGAAAAAATAATCAAGCAAATATTTTGGTACAAAAAATTTCTTGGAGTGTTAGGAATAAAAAAAATAAATAATTAACAATTTTCAATAAATTTTAAGAAAGTTATGGCAAAAAAGGGTGGAAAATTTGCCACACCCTGTATATTATTTTTGTGTTTAAATATATTTTTTTATATTTTTGTGTCCAAACAAAAATATATTTTGAAATTGTATGTGAAATATCATGATGAATGTGTGACATAAAACGAAAATATTTTAATAGTTACCAAATAGTTACCAATATCTTTGATTTTCTTTAATATTGCCGAAATATTTTAAAATTTATGTCTGTACATAAATAAACAAAAGTGCAAATAAATTAGAATAAATAAGAGGAGAAAATTTTAATTTACGTAATTTAAATTAAATTTTTAAACAATTTTACAGTAAATTTAAAGTTAAGACGGTAATATTCGGTTATCTCCCACAATTCTTTTTTTCTTCTCGATTTCCCAAATTAACTTTCATATGCTTGATCCAATCCGAATGAAACTTATATCATTCCGCAATAAGCGCTCTTGATGGATCATGTCTGATCGCCCATTAAGAAGTGATAAATGTGAAAAACATCGATTTCTTCGACTTATCAACTTCTAATATTTTACTGAACAATCAGACTGTATCCATTCAGTTGGAATAAATTAGCGCTCATAGTGGGCTTTCAAATTATCTAAAATTCATGAATTGGATCGAGATAAATAGGTTATAACCCTATCAAATTCGGAAAAAAGAGAGAAGAAAATTAAAATAGTGGGGGATATCGAATAATACAGTTAACAAAAACTTCTTTATTATTTCAAAGTAAATTTTTTTTAATTTTCAATGTCAATGTCAACAAAAATTTTATTTTTTATTCAATTTATTTTTCCAATATTTTTAAATTCTCTGGCAAATGGACAAAAAAGTCAGCGATTCCGATTTTATTATTATGATCCTGAAGATGTCAATCATTACAAAATAAAAAGAATAAACATAAATAATTTTGATTTGTCTGTTGAATTGGAATGTTCTTTACCGGAAATAGATTGTTCTGATCTTTATATAAAATTAAAAAGCCAAATTAATTTTGCTAAAACCAATGACGATTCTTTTGCAGAAAATCTTAACAATGGGTTAACGAAGATTCATTTTAAAACTAAATCTAATAAATTTCGCGAAGGAATTATGATTAAGTTCCGAAGCTCAGGAATGGTAAGCAAAGAATAATAAAAAGAATATTATCCAACTAAGTATAATATTATACAGGGTGCGGCAAAACTTTCCCGTACTTTTTTAAGCATAAAATTTATTTCAAATATTTTCTTAAATTTTATAAAATCTATGAAAAAGTGTTCATTAATAACTAAGGAAAAGAATGATTATAACAAATTTTCAAGATTTCTTTCCTCCGCCAACCATTGTTGCTGTGCCCAGGGATCCAGTGGCATAAATCCCGGCCCACACCATTGCAGATTGTCGAGAGAAGCTTTTTTTATCAATTTTGGAAGCAAGGCCTTTCCTTGGAAGCAATTGCCTATGCTTTTGTCTGTTGTGAAAGGCGGGGTTGCAACTTGACTGGGATTCAATTATTGTGGATGAGTGCGCGACCATAGTGGGCAAATTTAGTAAGCGTTTGAACGCGTATATCTTGGCGGAGGGAGGACATTTTGGACATTTATTATAATTTTTCTTTTCATTAGATATTAATAAACACTTTTTATAGATTTTATAAAATCTAAGAAAATATTTGAAATAAATTTTATGTTTAATAAAAGTAAGGGAACTTTTGCCGCACCCTGTATTTAAATTAACATTTTTTAGAATGTTATGCAAATAGAGCCTCTCTTTCATAAAAATATTAATTTCGAACCTGAAGAGGTTAAAGAAGGAATCAACGAGTTCCTTTTAACTAAATTTGAATGGAATCTGAATTTTGAAAGAGGCTATGATAGTCATATAAATATTTGTTTTAAAGCCAAAGATAAGGGAGAATATTTTATTTATGTTATGCCACATTCTCGAAAGACATTAAGATTTTTTGTCAAAATTGAAGGAGAAAAAGAAAAATGCGTGTTTGGGAAATTTAAAATAAATTCAGAAAATTTAAAGAATTTTTTTGAGGAATTAAAAGAATTTTTTTATGTTTATGCTATCCGAACTAGTGACTAATTAAAATTAAAAATTAAAAACCAAACTAAATAAGTTACTGACTTCATTCTTTCTATTTTTCTACTCAGTATTGATGGAAATGTTGGCAGGTTTTTACCAAACTAATAAAACCAAACTAATTAAAATTAAAAATATCGACTTATGTTCGGTCAAAAATTCTATAAAAATTCCTGCCAACATTTCCATCAATACTGAGTAGAAAAATAGAAAGAATGAAGTCAGTAACTTATTTCTTCATTGAGATCTCGAATCTCAAAAATCAACGGAAAATTGGGGTATAGTATTTAAAAAAATATTTAAACCCCTGGAGCTTTTATAAAAAATTTTCTTTTGGGCCCATTAAAAAGCCCACAAAATTTGCTACAAAATAGTCCAAGTTTTTATTTTTGCAATAAAAACTCATGGAGATAGAGGTAAGGCAATTTTTTAAGTTAACATTTCTGGGGTATTTTGGGAGATTTTGAGAATTTTTAATGTAAAGTGGACTAGAGTTAAACAGATATTTTTTTAGAAAAATTATTTTCCAGACTATTTTGTAGTAAATTTTATGGGCTTTCAGATAGGCATAAAATAAAATTTTTATTATAAGCTCTAGGGTGCTAAAATATTTTTTGAAGTACTGTACCCCAATTTTCCGTTGATTTTTGAGATTTGAGATCTCGATGAAGAAATAAGTCACAGACTTCGTTCTTTTTATTTTTCTACTCAGTATTGATGGAAATGTTCTTAAAAATTTTTATAGAATTTTTGACCGAACAAAAGTCGATATTTCTAGTCTGGTCCTATCTTTTTTTCCACCCCAAAAATTGAGTAGTATTGTTTAAAATTTTTTTGATAAAATTCTGTCGATAAAGTATACAGATATCTATACTCATTTTAAAGAGCATTAAAAGATCTACAATTTTTGAGTTGAAACTTTTTGCCTAGAAGTTAATTGAAAAGAGTTAATCGATAAAAACTAATTTAACAGTCTCTGGTCCTATCTTTTTTTCCGGCACTGTATGTTATACATTACTTATATTACGCTAAGACAATAAAATTTTTTGTCAAAATTGAAGGAGAGGAAGAAAAATGCGTGTTTGGGAAATTTAAAATAATTTCAGAAGATTTAAAGAATTTTTTTGAAGAATTAAAAGAATTTATTGATGTTTTTGCTGCCAAAACTAATGATGAAACGAACTTTGAAGACGGACAAATGGATATTATTGAATTAACAGATTCTAGACAAAATATTTTCAATGAGACTAATCTTTTAAGTTTAGGTCCTTTATTTGATGATGGAAGTTTTGAAATTTATTTTGACAAAAATGGAAAGCTGAATGACTTTTTATTGTCAAATAGAATGTTTTTAAAAGACTCAAAAAATATTTTGAAAGATTATTTAATTAAAAGAGAATTGGGGGATAAAAAGAATGTTTTTAATAAAGATGAACAAATTTGGTTCCGTTATTTGGAAGATGAAAGTCAAAAAAATTTTAAGAATGAAAATGGAAAATCCAAAATAATTGAAGTCATTCCCTATAAATATTTTCATTCCCTATAAATATTTTCATTCCCTATAAATATTTTCATTCTGTTGGGTATTGGCTTAGTATAAAAGCCTTCCTATTATTCACTCGCGGTCTTAGTCTTATTGTCGCAGTGTTATTCTGTTATTCTATTCTGTCTCCACATATTCGGCGCTTAGCTATTTCCTATTGTACGCAATAAGGTTGGCGGATAGTTGGAAATCTTCGGATATCCGGATCCGGATCCGGTATCCGATCCGAAAATTTCGGATATCCGGATCCGGTATCCGAACCGAAATTTTCGGATATCCGGATCCGGAACCGATATCCGAACCGAAAATTTCGGATATCCGGATCCGGTATCCGAACCGAAAATTTCGGATATCCGGATCCGGTATCCGAACCGAAAATTTCCGGATATCCGGCCTTTTTTCGGATCCGGATATCCGGATCCGCCAACCTTAGTACGCAACCTATTGTATATAGTATTGTAGATAAAGCACAGTTTGTTAGTTACTATCTTATCTTGTTATTCTTTGTTAGTACGTAGACATATAACAGAGGCGCGGTCGTGTTATTCGAACCTGATTGAAAGGTATTATTCTTATTCGGATATTATTCAATTCTAATTGTATATTCTAGTTCTAAATGGACACAGAGGCAGTAAAAATTCTAAATAAATTCTGAAGTCAACCCAAGAGTTTGTAGATTTCTAAAATTAATGTATTTGATACATAATTTTCAGTCAATAAAATGTCCGGCTAAATTTTTCAATTAAAATGGATGTTTCTAACTCTTACAGACGATTGTAATTTAATTTTAACTTTTAATTTTTTTTTTAAAATTATTTGTAGAAGTTTCTCTCCATCAACATCAACTCGAAATAGACCAGCGTCTCGCCTTACGAAACTGTCATTCAAGTAGTTTTTAATTTTTGTTGTCCACTGGGGAGGGGGGCTGCCTATGCGTTCGATACCCTCAATTTCTGTTTTACTTTTTTATTTTACTTTTTTTCCTTCATTTCTTTTAATTTTTGGATAGCGCTTACAATTTTACCCAGGAACCGAAGGTAGGGGAGGGTTTGGTTTTCGTGCTTAAATATACCCTTGATTTTGTTCCAAAAAATAATTTTCAAATTTTTTTTAGAGAAAAGGTTATGGAGCTTCTGCCGGTGAATGTTGGGCATTTTATGGAGGGCATGGATTTTTAACTATTGGGTTATCTGATCGAATTAATGTTACAGCTGTTTCATACTACGAACATTTGCCAATTGAATTATCACCCGATGGACATATAAGTACAGCACCTAAGAATTTTCTTGTTTGGGTATGGATAGAAAAATGACTGTGAAATTATTTTTATTTTTAGAGTTATCAAGATATTGACGACATTTATTCTCGTAAATTACTGGGTAATTTTACTTTTGATGCTCATGGAGATCCTTTACAAATATTTTATGTTCAGGTTAATTTAAAATAATTTTCGATAAAATAAAATTTTTAAAGCATTGGGATCAGCGTTTAACAAATATTATTGAATTGGAAACTCTTACAAATTGGGGCTCTTATGTGACATGTCTTTATCGATTTAGAGTACATGGACATGCATTGAAGGTTTTTAATTTTTTTTTTCGACATTTGTTTAGTCACACTTGCGAACTGGATATTTTTCTGAAAATATATGTAGCTAGACGTTCACAAAAAATTTTTAAAATAAATCTAGTGTGAATCCAGTCGTTCTAGAATACCTTCAAGCAATAAAATTCAATTTATTTTTTTAGGTACTCCCTGAATTTTCTGAAGAAAGTGAACAATCCAATCTTTCATTTTCAAATATTCAGGCTAAATCGGATGGACGGGACTAAACATTTTAAAAATAAATTAGTAGATTTTTATAAAAAAAATTTGTGAGACTATATTTTCCAAGATAAATCCCGCCTTCCACAAATCAAACGGGATTGCGGACGGGGTATCTCGCAAAATCCCTTTCTCCCACACTAATACAGTCATTTTTAGTATTTTTATTTATTTTATGTTTAAATTATTTTAAAATTGATAAAAGCTTTATTTAAATTTTCGTTTTAATTTTAATATTCAGGTATTCTTATTTAATATTTTTTTCATCATTTTTTTTATTTTAAAACAATTTAGAAAATAATATATTTTATTGAATGTCGACTGAAACTTTGATTTTGGACAATGGTTGTTTTAATATTAAAATTGGATATGCAGGTTCTAATTCGAGGTTAATCTATTAAATTTAATATTTTTTGGGGTTGAAAAGCTCAAGATTTTTCGAGTATTATGCTTTGGAAGTCGCCTTCCCCTTTTTTCTTTTTTCCATTTCTTTTAAGTCGAAGGGTACTGAAATAAACGAAATCTGATTTATAAAATAAAGTTTGTCCATTTTCCTTTTAGCATCATCACATCAATCGATTATCCATTGATGATTCAGCTTCGTAATTTCTTTCAGAACCTGCAAATCTAACTGATTAGAGTGTCATTCGACCTAGTTTGATAAGCTCTCAAAGATTATAATAAATCGAGCAAAAAAGCTCAAAATGGTCAGGGAAAAAGGTGAGAGGGAAGGCAAGGTCGGGGATAAGGGGAAGGCGACTTCCGAAGTATTATCTTTTTTACTCTAAAATGATTTTAATATTTTTTCTAATTTTCCCTTTACTTTTTTAAGTTTTCCTTAACCTCCTTTTGTCAAAATTTCTTTTAAAAAATTCAAATTTAGATTATTTCCGAATGCAATAATTAAATCAAAATTTGACAAGAAACGTGTTTATATAGCCGATGAAATTGAACAATTGTCTGATAAAACTTCTTTGTATTTTTCCCTTCCAATTGAGCGCGGATATTTAGGTTATTTTTAAATTAAATTAAATTTTAAAAATTATTTTTTAAAGTTAATTGGGATACACAATTACAAATTTGGAATAAATTGTTTGGAAAGGATAATTTGAATGTAGACTATAAAAATTGTAGAATAATTTTGACTGACCCTTCTGATATTTCGAGGTTATTTTTAAATTGAAATTTTAATTTTTCGAACAATTGTGGAGATTAGGATTGCCAAAATGGACCGACTCGGACCGAAAGATTGAATCGGGCCTAAGATATTTGGCCCGAAATAGACTCGTATAGGCCCGACTCGATAATTTTAGGCCTGAAAAAATGCCTAAACCGTCGGCCCGACTCGAAAACGGCAACTTTAGTGGAGATGACAATTGTGGGTGTACAAATTTTAGAAAATAAATATTCCCTGGTCATAATCCAAAAATTGTTTGGAAACTTTTTATGGTTATAAAATACTATGAAATTTAGGCCATATATTCCAACCAGGATTCTAGCCGACTCGATTCCCGAAAATCGGTGATTTAAAAAATGGGGAATTTAATTTTTACGTCGGCTAGATCCCTGATGCCAATCGACAGGTCTCCAAGTCAGGCTTTTTAATATTTTCGTAGTTCTAAATTTTCTATCCGTAGTTATACATCCGCATTTGTCGTGTGTTTAGGCCATTTTAGCTGGATTTTTTTAATTATTTAACTTAATTTTTTCTTGATTTTAGCAGTTTATTTTGTAAATTGCTTTGATTTTTAATAGAAAATTTTTTTTCTAAAATTTTTTATCCATTTTTTAATCATAATTTTTAATTTTTCAGAGCATTTTCTGAAGATAACACAGAAGAAATAATTTTTGAAAATTATTGTTTTCATTCTTTAATTAGAACCTCTGGTTATTTTCTTATTTTCTAATTTTAATTTTATTTATTTAGCCCCTTCTTTGACTGCCCAAATTCATTGTTCTTTTGAAAATCCTTGTTGTATTATTGTTGATTCTGGGTATTTTTATAAATTTAATAATAATTTTAAAAATATGTTTTAAAGCCACTCTTTTACTCACATTGTTCCATATATTCAAGGAAAAATTGCAAAAAATGGAGTTTTGAGGTTTTAATTATTTTTTTTTATTATTTTAAAATTATCAAAAAATTTTGGGGTTATTTTTAGTTCCTCCCACCCATTTTCCATTTTTTAAAAAATTTTAATTTTGGACTATTACTTTAGCCTCCCCCTTGTTTCCCCCATTTTCCATTTTGGAGACAAAAAACAAATTAAGGCTCATCCGACGAATGTGAGTTTAATGGTACACAATTTAGCTCTATTGGGTTACTTTAAAAAAGAGAAGACAAAAAGTATCAGTGGATATTGAGTAAATTAATATAAGTAGTTCTGCCAGTTTTTTTAACTATAAACGACGTCAACTATCTGTCCATTTTTTTATGATATGCCTTATATTCGAATTATTATTTAGAATTGATGTTGGCGGCAAAGCTCTTACAAATCAATTAAAAGATTGGATTTCTTACAGGCAATTGAATGTTACTGACGAAACTTATGTAATTAATTGTGTAAGAATTTTTAATTAAATAAAAATTGAGAGAAATATTTTTATTTTTAAAATTTAAGTGTAAAGAAGATGTTTGTTTTGTCTCTACAGATTTCCAAGAGGATATGAAAAATTGGAGGGCTAAAAGATTGGATTACTTACTGCCTGATTTTGTAACATTAATGAGAGGGGAGGTGAGGTTTTTTATCTTTTATTCTTAATTAAGAAAAAGGGGGAGAATGGTGGCAAATGTCCAGTTGGTGGTCCACCTGTCCGCAAAGAGAATCCGTACTTTTATTTCCGTTTCCTGCATTTTTTGCGTTGGCAGAAATGCTCCGGATTAAACCTTTGCGTTGTTTATTCTTTGCACAGTTTTTTGGTCGTTTCGTATTTTGGTAAAACCTTGATTTCCAGGATTGTACTTTGGTATAGAGTTCATTACAGATTCTAAGAAAAAGTCCCAATAATATCACAGTAATTTGCTGAATAGAAGTTCGACGAATCAGAATAATCAGGAATAATAAATCAAAAGAAATGATCAACATCCGAGTAATTTGCTAAATAGAAGTTCGACGAATCAGAATAATCAGGAATAATAAATCAAAAGAAATGATCAACATCCGAGAAATTTGCTAAATAGAAGTTCGACGAATCAGAATAATCAGGAATAATAAATCAAAAGAAATGATCAACATCCGAGTAATTTGCTAAATAGAAGTTCTACGAATCAGAATAATCAATAATAATAAATCAAAAGAAATGATCAACATCCGAGAAATTTGCTAAATAGAAGTTCGACGAATCAGAATAATCAGGAATAATAAATCAAAAGAAATGATCAACATCCGAGAAATTTGCTAAATAGAAGTTCGACGAATCAGAATAATCAGGAATAATAAATCAAAAGAAATGATCAACATCCGAGAAATTTGCTGAATAGAAGTTCGACGAATCAGAATAATCAGGAATAATAAATCAAAAGAAATGATCAACATCCGAGTAATTTGCTGAATAGAAGTTCGACGAATCAGAATAATCAGGAATAATAAATCAAAAGAAATGATCAACATCCGAGAAATTTGCTAAATAGAAGTTCGACGAATCAGAATAATCAGGAATAATAAATCAAAAGAAATGATCAACATACGAGAAATTTGCTAAATAGAAGTTCGACGAATCAGAATAATCAGGAATAATAAATCAAAAGAAATGATCAACATCCGAGAAATTTGCTAAATAGAAGTTCGACGAATCAGAATAATCAGGAATAATAAATCAAAAGAAATGATCGACATCCGAGTAATTTGCTAAATAGAAGTTCGACGAATCAGAATAATCAGGGATAATAAATCAAAAGAAATGATCAACATCCGAGTAATTTGCTAAATAGAAGTTCGACGAATCAGAATAATCAGGGATAATAAATCAAAAGAAATGATCAACATCCGAGTAATTTGCTAAATAGAAGTTCGACGAATCAGAATAATCAGGAATAATAAATCAAAAGAAATGATCAACATCCGAGAAATTTGCTAAATAGAAGTTCGACGAATCAGAATAATCAGGAATAATAAATCAAAAGAAATGATCAACATCCGAGAAATTTGCTAAATAGAAGTTCGACGAATCAGAATAATGAGGAATAATAAATCAAAAGAAATGATCAACATCCGAGAAATTTGCCAAATAGAAGTTCGACGAATCAGAATAATCAGGAATAATAAATCAAAAGAAATGATCAACATCAGAGTAATTTGCTACATACATCTTTTTAAAATTCTCTCGTCATAATTTCACTAAATCATAAAATCATCTAATTATTTAATATTCTATAGCATTGTTTCTCTTCTACATACATCTTTTTAGAATTCTCTTGTCATAATTTCACTAAATCATAAAATCATCTAATTATTTAATATTTTATAGCATTGTTTCTCTTCTACATACATCTTTTTAAAATTCTCTTGTCATAATTTCACTAAATCATAAAATCATCTAATTATTTAATATTCTATAGCATTGTTTCTCTTCTACATACATCTTTTTAAAATTCTCTTGTCATAATTTCACTAAATCATAAAATCATCTAATTATTTAATATTCTATCGCATTGTTTCTCTTCTACATACATCTTTTTAAAATTCTCTTGTCATAATTTCACTAAATCATAAAATCATCTAATTATTTAATATTCTATAGCATTGTTTCTCTTCTACATACATCTTTTTAAAATTCTCTTGTCATAATTTCACTAAATCATAAAATCATCTAATTGATTAATATTCTATAGCATTGTTTCTCTTCTATATACATCTTTTTAAAATTCTCTTGTCATAATTTCACTAAATCATAAAATCATCTAATTATTTAATATTCTATAGCATTGTTTCTCTTCTACATACATCTTTTTAAAATTCTCTTGTCATAATTTCACTAAATCATAAAATCATCTAATTATTTAATATTCTATAGCATTGTTTCTCTTCTACATACATCTTTTTAAAATTCTCTTGTCATAATTTCACTAAATCATAAAATCATCTAATTGATTAATATTCTATAGCATTGTTTCTCTTCTACATACATCTTTTTAAAATTCTCTTGTCATAATTTCACTAAATCATAAAATCATCTAATTGATTAATATTCTATAGCATTGTTTCTCTTCTATATACATCTTTTTAAAATTCTCTTGTCATAATTTCACTAAATCATAAAATCATCTAATTATTTAATATTCTGTAGCATTGTTTCTCTTCTACATACATCTTTTTAAAATTCTCTTGTCATAATTTCACTAAATCATAAAATCATCTAATTATTTAATATTCTTTAGCATTGTTTCTCTTCTACATACATCTTTTTAAAATTCTCTTGTCATAATTTCACTAAATCATAAAATCATCTAATTGATTAATATTCTATAGCATTGTTTCTCTTCTATATACATCTTTTTAAAATTCTCTTGTCATAATTTCACTAAATCATAAAATCATCTAATTATTTAATATTCTATAGCATTGTTTCTCTCTACATACATCTTTTTAAAATTCTCTTGTCATAATTTCACTAAATCATAAAATCATCTAATTGATTAATATTCTATAGCATTGTTTCTCTTCTATATACATCTTTTTAAAATTCTCTTGTCATAATTTCACTAAATCATAAAATCATCTAATTATTTAATATTCTATAGCATTGTTTCTCTTCTACATACATCTTTTTAAAATTCTCTTGTCATAATTTCACTAAATCATAAAATCATCTAATTATTTAATATTCTATAGCATTGTTTCTCTTCTACATACATCTTTTTAAAATTCTCTTGTCATAATTTCACTAAATCATAAAATCATCTAATTATTTAATATTCTATAGCATTGTTTCTCTTCTACATACATCTTTTTAAAATTCTCTTGTCATAATTTCACTAAATCATAAAATCATCTAATTATTTAATATTCTGTAGCATTGTTTCTCTTCTACATACATCTTTTTAAAATTCTCTTGTCATAATTTCACTAAATCATAAAATCATCTAATTATTTAATATTCTATAGCATTGTTTCTCTTCTACATACATCTTTTTAAAATTCTCTTGTCATAATTTCACTAAATCATAAAATCATCTAATTATTTAATATTCTATAGCATTGTTTCTCTTCTACATACATCTTTTTAAAATTCTTGTCATAATTTCACTAAATCATAAAATCATCTAATTATTTAATATTCTATAGCATTGTTTCTCTTCTACATACATCTTTTTAAAATTCTCTCGTCATAATTTCACTAAATCATAAAATCATCTAATTATTTAATATTCTATAGCATTGTTTCTCTTCTACATACATCTTTTTAGAATTCTCTTGTCATAATTTCACTAAATCATAAAATCATCTAATTATTTAATATTTTATAGCATTGTTTCTCTTCTACATACATCTTTTTAAAATTCTCTTGTCATAATTTCACTAAATCATAAAATCATCTAATTATTTAATATTCTATAGCATTGTTTCTCTTCTACATACATCTTTTTAAAATTCTCTTGTCATAATTTCACTAAATCATAAAATCATCTAATTATTTAATATTCTATCGCATTGTTTCTCTTCTACATACATCTTTTTAAAATTCTCTTGTCATAATTTCACTAAATCATAAAATCATCTAATTATTTAATATTCTATAGCATTGTTTCTCTTCTACATACATCTTTTTAAAATTCTCTTGTCATAATTTCACTAAATCATAAAATCATCTAATTGATTAATATTCTATAGCATTGTTTCTCTTCTATATACATCTTTTTAAAATTCTCTTGTCATAATTTCACTAAATCATAAAATCATCTAATTATTTAATATTCTATAGCATTGTTTCTCTTCTACATACATCTTTTTAAAATTCTCTTGTCATAATTTCACTAAATCATAAAATCATCTAATTATTTAATATTCTATAGCATTGTTTCTCTTCTACATACATCTTTTTAAAATTCTCTTGTCATAATTTCACTAAATCATAAAATCATCTAATTGATTAATATTCTATAGCATTGTTTCTCTTCTACATACATCTTTTTAAAATTCTCTTGTCATAATTTCACTAAATCATAAAATCATCTAATTGATTAATATTCTATAGCATTGTTTCTCTTCTATATACATCTTTTTAAAATTCTCTTGTCATAATTTCACTAAATCATAAAATCATCTAATTATTTAATATTCTGTAGCATTGTTTCTCTTCTACATACATCTTTTTAAAATTCTCTTGTCATAATTTCACTAAATCATAAAATCATCTAATTATTTAATATTCTTTAGCATTGTTTCTCTTCTACATACATCTTTTTAAAATTCTCTTGTCATAATTTCACTAAATCATAAAATCATCTAATTGATTAATATTCTATAGCATTGTTTCTCTTCTATATACATCTTTTTAAAATTCTCTTGTCATAATTTCACTAAATCATAAAATCATCTAATTATTTAATATTCTATAGCATTGTTTCTCTTCTACATACATCTTTTTAAAATTCTCTTGTCATAATTTCACTAAATCATAAAATCATCTAATTATTTAATATTCTATAGCATTGTTTCTCTTCTACATACATCTTTTTAAAATTCTCTTGTCATAATTTCACTAAATCATAAAATCATCTAATTGATTAATATTCTATAGCATTGTTTCTCTTCTATATACA